ATGGATCTTGGAGAATGACAGTGGATTATTGTAAACTCAATCAGTTGCTGACTCCAATTGCAGTTGCTGTTCCAGATGTGGTTCTTTACTTGAGCAAATCAATACATCTCTTGGTACCTGGTATGCAGCTACTGATCTGGCCAATGCCTTTTTCTCAGTTCCTATTTCAAAGAACCACTAGAAGCAGTTTGCATTCAGTTGGCAAGGCCAGTAGTACACTTTCATGGTTTTACCTCAGAGAGATATCAACTCTCCAGCCCTACATCCTAATTTAGTCTGCAGAGACCTTGATCTCCTTTCCTTTCCACGAGACATCATGCTAATCCATTACATTGATAGCATTATGCTGATTGGACCAAGTAAGGGAAAGTATCAATGACCCTAGACTTATCAGTAAGATATTTGTGTACTAGAGAATGGGAAATTAAACCAACAAAAATTCAGGCACCCTCCACCTCAGTGCTGTTTCTAAGGGTCCAGTGGTGTGGGACATACCAAGATATTCTTACTAAAATGAAAGTTAAGTTATTGTATTTGGCATCTCCCACAACTAAAAAAGGGCACAACACATGTTAAACCTTTTTGTATTTTGGAGGGAACATATACCTCATTTGGGTATGCTGCTCTGGCCTGTGTATCAAATGATTAGAAAAGCTGCTAGTTTTGAGTGGGGCCCAGAACTATAGAAGACTTTGCAATAGGTTCTGGTCAGTGTGCAAGCCTCTCTGCTACTTGGGCTTTATGATCTGGTTGATCCAGTGATGCTTGAACTTTCAGTTCTGCTGATAAACATGCTGTTTGCAGTCTTTGGCAGGCCCCTATTAGTGAATCACAGTGCAGACCCTTAGGATTTTGGAGCAAAGCCCTGCTATTCTTGGCAGATGACTACTCTCCTTTTGAGAAACAGCTTTTGGCTTATTACTGGGCCTTAGATAGAGGCTCAGCATCTAATCATGAGCTATCAAGTCATCATGCTACCTGAGCTTCCCATCGTGAACTGGGTGTTGTCTTAGCCACAGAGACATAAAGTTGGAAGTTCACAACAGCACTCCATCATGAAATGGAAATGATATGTGAGATATTACACTTGAGAAGGACCTAAAGGAAATAAATTACATGAGGAAGTAGTCCAATGCCTGTGGCATCCACTCCAATCACATTACCTTCCCACTCTCAGTCTGCACCTGTGGTCTCTTGGGGTGTACCTTGTGATCACTTGACAGAGGAAGAGAAGACTCATGCCTGGTTTACATATGGTTTTGTGTGATATGCAGGCACCACTCAATAGCAGCACTGAAGCCCCTTTCTGGGAGCTCCATGAAGGACAGTGGTGAAGGGAAATCCACCCAATGCACAGAACTTCAAGCAGTGCATCTAGTTGTTCACTTTGCTTGGAAGAAGAAATGGCCAGATAGGTGATTGTATACTGATTGATGAGCTGTGGCCAATGGTTTGTTGGATGGTCAGAGACTTGGAAGAAACACGATTGGAAAATTGGTGACAAAGAGGTATGGGGAAAAGGTATGTGGTTAGAGTTCTCTGAATGGGCTGAAGAAGTGAAGATATTTGTTCATCAAAGGGTGACCTCAGCAGAAGAGGATTTTAACAATTAAGTGGATAGGATGACATGCTCTGTGGGAACCAGTCATCTTCTTTCCCCAGCCACTCCTGTCATTGCCCAAAGGGCTCATGAACAAAGTGGCCATGGTGGTAAGGATGGTGGTTATGCATGGGCTCAGCAATACGGGCTTCTACTCACTAAGGCTGACTTGGCTACAGCCATTGCTGAATGCCCAGTCTGCTAACAGCTGAGACCAACACTAAGACTGCTATATGGAACCACCCTGGGGGTGATCAGCCAGCAGCCTAGTGGCAGGTTATTTACACTGGACTATTTCTATCATGGAAAGGGTAGAATTTTGTTCTTACTGGAATAGACACTTACTCTGGTTACAGATTTGCCTTCCCTGTATGCAGTGCTTCTGCCAAAACTACCATCTGTGGACTTACAGAACAGCGTATCTACCATCATGGTATCCCATACAGCATTGCCTCAGATCAAGGGACTCTCTTCACAACAAATAAAGTGTGGCAGTTGGTCCATGCTCATGGAATTCACTGGGAGCTCTGGTAGCATAGTGCCTAAGGCACTTGACTGCTAACCAGAAGGTTGGTGGTTCAAACCCACCAGCCACTCCTCGGAAGGAAGGTTGGGCAATCCTACTTTCACAGTGATACTGCCTCGGAAACCCAAGGAGGGGTCGCTATGAGTCGGGGCTGACTCGATGGCAAATAACAACAACAACAAACCATGTTCCCCATCATCCTGACGGAGCTGGCTTAACAGAACAATTTAATGGCCTTCTAAAGACAACATTATGGTGCCAGCTATGTGGCAATACCTTGTAGGGTTGGGGCACTTTCTCCAGGAGGCTGTATATTCTCTAAATCAGCATCCATTATATGGTGCTGTTTCCCCAGTAGCCAAGATTCATAGGTCCAAGAACCAGCTGGTGGAAATGGGAGTGGCAGTCCTCACTGTTACACCTAGTGACCCATTCAAAAAGTGTTTGCTTCCTGTCCCTTCAACCCTATGCTCTGCAAGTCTGGAGGTCTTAGTCCCAAAGGGAGGAATACTCCCACCTGAAGACATAATTAATATAATTGAACTAGAAGTAAAGCATGCCACCCAGGTTTTTTGGGCAAAGAAGGGAGTTACTGTATTGTCTGGTGTGATGCATCCTGATTACCATTCCCTGTGATTAAAGTCAATGAAAAACTACAGCAACCCAATTCTGGTATGACCACTGGTGGCCTAAACCCTTCAGAAATGAAGATTTGGGCCACCCCACCAGGCAAAGAGCCACAACCAGCTGAGGTGCTTGCTGAGGGCAAAGTGAATACAGAATGGTGATCGAAGAAGGTAGTTGTAAATATTAGCTACAATCATGTGACTGGTTGCAGGACTGAGGACTGTAATTGTTATGAGTATTTCTTCTTTGCATGTATGCATCAAATATTTTTGTTTCCAGTTGTAAAATATTAGATGTAAATGTGGCTGATGTGTTTTCAGTGTACACATTTGTATCATGTTAGGCACAAGTATGACTTTATAATTGTCTTTATGTAGAGATGATGTATGATTTAAGGAGTTGTGTACCAATGCCAAATTGACAAGGAGTGGACTTTGATCATTAAAGTTGTGTATCAATTTGGCTGGACCATGATTCTCAGGGGTTTAGGAATTATGATGTAGTTATCCCACATGATGAAATCTTATATAATGTAATCACCTCCATGATGAAGTCTGCTATGAGCAGCCAATCCATTGAAAGGGGATTTCCTCAGAGCTGTGACCTGCTTCTAGTATATATGGACTTCCTGGCAATGATATCTGGCTTTTTGCTTGATTTGGATCCTGTGTCTGGCTCATCATCTGACCTCCATTTCTTGGATTTGTACCAATGGCCTGCCATATTACCTGCCAATTTTGGGACTGTTGCCTTTGTGACCTGTGAGCTAACAGCCTGTCATTCTACCTGCTGATCTTGATTCATCAGCCTCCAAAGCAGCAACCTACTGTATTGCCTTGGGTTCATCAGCCCTGCAGCTCCATGAGTCAGGAGAAGCCTCCAGTTTGGCATCTGTCCCACAGACTTGGGACTTGCCAGCCTCGCAACTTCATGAGTCATCTCCTTGAGATAAATTGTATCCTTTCACCACACTTACTCAGTCTGTATGCCAGGCAAATAATTCAAGAAGCAAGACTGTATGAAGAAGAATGTGGCATCAGGATGAGAGGAAGACTCATTGACAGCTTGTAACATGCAGGTGATACAGCCTTGCTTGCTGAACATGAAGAAGACTTGAAGCACTACTGATGAAAGTCAAAGACTGAAGTCTTCAGTATAGGTTATACCTCAACAAAAAGAATAGAAAAACCTCAAAACATCACAATAAATGTAGAAAGAATGAAGTTGTCAGGGATTTCATTTTACTTGGATCCACAATCAACACCCATGGAAGCAGGAGTCCAGAAATCAGACATTATATTGCACTGTGCATATCTGCTGCAAGAGACCTCACTAAATTAGTTTTAAGGAGCAAAGATGGAACTTTGAAGACTAAGGTGCCACTAACTCAAGCCATGGTATTCCCTCATATGCATATGAAAGCTGAACAGTGAATAAGGAAGACCGAAAAAAGAGTTGATGCCTTTGTATTGTGGTGTTGGTGAAGAATACTGAAAATATCATGGACTGCCAGAAGAACAAACAAATCTGTCCTGGAAGAAATGCAGCCAACATGCTCCTTAGAAGCAAGAATGGCCAGACTTCATCTCACCTGCTTTGGTCATGTTATCAGAAGGGGCCATTCTCTGGAAAAGCATATCATGCTTGGTAACGTAGATGGTCAGCAAAAGAGGGGCAGGATCTCAATAAGATGGATTGACACAGTGGCTGCAACAATGGGCTTAAGCATAGCAAGAATTGTGAGGATGGTGCAGGAGCAGCCAGTGTTTCATTCTTTTGTACGTAGGGTCACTATGAGTCTGAGCCATCTTGATAACCTATATATAAGTTTCACTCATTTTGCTTCTCCACAGAACCCAGCCTAAGACAGTCTATTATCCTTCATGTGTAAATTACACTTAACAACCTCTACCAAGATCGGTGGGATTAATTTTCCAGGACATATCTTGATGTGTTAGAATATACACAGTATATACCTCTATGGCATTTGATTCACAGATCACCAAATATAATTAAATAATAATTTTAACTTCATTGAAATACACTATGCATGCATATATACATATAGTATGCCTTTAATAAAATTTAAATTTTATATATATTAATTACATTTTAAGTGTATTGATTGTTCCATATTCGAAAACAACAAGTTTGCTTAGCTGGCAATTTATTGTACAGGAAGGAAAAAATTCTGCATGCTTTTTTATATTTGTTTGCTAATTTAGTTTTGGTTTTGATATTTTTCAGGATGTGGTGGATACCCACCCTGGCCTTACGTTCTTGAAAGATGCTCCAGAATTCCACTCTCGCTACATCACCACGGTAGGCTGAGTCCTCATTTGTCTTAATGTAATTCCATAAGTCTCTTTCAGATCATTATGCAAAATGTAATGATCATTTTAAGTGGGAGGAAGGACAGTAAAATTCATTTACTAATATATGTAAATCTATTACCATTTTTATATGTGTTTAGTGCTCAAGAGGTCTCTCATATACAAAATTAAATTAATATAGTCATTCTTGTCTGGTCTTATGAGGTGTACCTTATGTTGTGCCATGAATATTTATATCCAGTTGATCTTTAGCATTTCCAAATAAGACTGAAATGAATTTTCAGCAGCCTTTCCCAGAAAAAGATGTGTCTCTAGCACCTGAGAGTGAGAAGTGAAATGATAACGAGAATAGCTTTCTTGTAACCATAAAACAGATCACATAAGAATTTTAAATAACATAATATAATCCCGTATTTTGTGAGGTACTTTCATTCCATTTTTTCTCATGCACAACCTCATGTCTTCAGTCACAGGCCAGGCATGAATTTTGAATGAATGCACACAGGCCTGCAGTGCACAGTGCAGCCATAGCATGCATTCTCTGTCCTAGATTCCAGTTATCTGTGGAGGAATGCCAAAGACTTGTCCAGTGCACAATCCAACCTTACATTTGCAGACACACTCAAAGGAGATCACCCTTCTGTTCAGGCCCCCAGCTAAGCAGGGCAGTCTTCTCTGAGGAAATCCACTTCTCACTGTTAGGGTACTGCTGGTTATGGATGTGTTGGGTTCTGCCAAATTAAAGGTTACTACTGGGTTTTCTCTTGTAGGAATTGTCCCTCTTATAGGAATTTCATTCTAAGCATTTACATTGACTCTTCTGCCAGTGTAGAAATAAAACTTCTTAAGATTCTGTCCAAGCCAGAGGTGTCCCCGTCATGTAAGACTCTCAGAAGTTATTTCTGTCTGTTAACCAGGATGCTATACTAAATTACCTCCCCACAATCACCTTGGCCCTGTCTGCTCTCATTTCTCACTTGCATTACTTTTAATTAGTCTGTTTCTACCCTCATTGCTCTGTAGTCTAGTCTCCACAAAGCAGAAAGTGTTCCTTTGAAAATGTAAGTTAGATCATGTCACCTCTCTGCTAAAACCCTCCACTTGTTTCCCATCACTTAGCAAGAATGCCACAGTCCTTGCCATCACACTCCATAATCTCGCCTACACCATCATTCCCCTGCTCTCTGTTCTTATCTCTTACCACTCTCCCCCTTGCTGGTTCTGGGTCCAGCCCATGGCCTCCTCTTTGTTACTGGAACAGAACAGACCTGCTCCTGCTTCAGGTGCTTTGTTCTTACTCTTTCCTCTTCCTAGCACACTCTTCCTACAGATTTCCACAAGGCTCACTCCCTCACTTTATCCAGTTACCTGCTCAGGGAATCCCCTATTAGTGAGGGCTTCCCTGATTACTCTCTGCCTTCTTCGTCTTTTGTTTTTCCTCTGCCTCCTCCCCCTGTCTTTTCTATTCTTTTTCCCCTGCTATATTTTTCTTCTTAGCTCTTATCACCATCTGATATTTTTGTTTTTGTTGTTTATTATCCATCTCCTTTTATATTAATATAAACTTCATAAGAGCAGGGACTCTGTCCATATTTTTCACTACTACATCCTTTGTACCTAGAATAGTGGCTGGTACATAATAAGCACCCAGTAAATGTTTATTGAGTTATTCAGTGAAATTATTCATGCTTAAGAATTCTACATTAGCTCTGGCTACAATCCCAAGGGGAATTATTGGGTTCTAATTGTTGACTGCTCTATAAACTCAGGACATTGTTAACTGCATAATTTAGAATCTTAAGAGTTGGAAAGGGAAACTATTTATAAAGATCAACCTCAGAATTATTGACAAATACCTCAGAGAAAAAGCAAAGTATTTTATCATATGACCCTATTAAATGTTATTTACTCTCAATGGCATACAATGTGAAAGAACAATTAATACATTGTTTACATGCTACAGTTATCCAGTTATTTCATTTTACAGTTGGAAGAAACCACTGACACATAGTGCAATTCACATATTAGCTTACACGTGGTTCCTACATGATGAAGAAAAGTTGTATAACTTCTGTTTTCTGTTTATCACTAGACAATTATGCTACAGGAAAAGACTTTTTTGGTTTTCTTTTTAGTAATTATTTTGTCAGCTGTCTCTTAGACTGGAAAGACAGAGCATCAACTATGCATACATGTAAGAAGGACATTCCTGCCCAAATACGAGATTGTTACCTGAAACCAGTCATATTCTTCTTTATTCACAGAGAAGAGTTAGCAGTCAGAAATATGCTTCTTGATATTGAAGTATTCTTAACAGAACTAATGAAAATGAAATTGGAAATACCAACCAATTACAGCCTTTGAATGCAGTTTGACATGCTGTGCAAAGAAATTGCCAGTGAATAAAAGAATCTGCTTATCTAAACTGGTATTTACTAACTTTTGAGGAAAGAGATACTCGCATAAATTTTTTAAATGATGAGATTTAAAATATTTCTTTATGACACCTGGTGCTGGCAGTAAAGATATTTTTTGCTCAGGTGGTGTCTTAGTGATGTGTTCAGTGTCTGAATTGGCCTGAGTCCCTCCCTCCAAGCTGAAGTGCCAGGAGTTTTCTTGTTGAGGACAAGGTACAGAGATTTCCTAAGAAAACTTTAGCTGTGGTGAATATAGTTCATTACTGAGAGCTTAACTCTTTCCCCATGAACATTTCCCCTTTGACAGAGGAAAAAAAAAAAATCATTATTGTTGGATACATTTAAAAAATAAAAGTCCAAATTATGTAAAAGATCATGAAGAAATTGAGAACCAAATGTAACCAAATTGTGGATCAGGAATCCCTTCACCACTCTCTGCCAAGTGGAAGACCCACCCTTCTATCATTTGACTATGTTCATGCACATGTGCACTCAAGTCATTTACAGTGAGAAATCTCTTCACATTATGGTCCTCTAGTACCGCTCTAATAGAAAATACTACAGGTAGAAGGCTTAACAAACGGGTTTATTCTCATACAGTTTTGGAGGCTAGAAGTCCAAGTTCAAAGTGCCAGCACTAGGGGCTAGGTGAAAGCCCTTTGATCTTGGGCTTAATCTCTGCTTCTTGCTCCCAACCCACTGGAGCTGGAGGGGTGTCTTTACTGAGGTAGCAGCTGGCTGCTGAGGCTGACATGCCCAAAATTGACAAGTAAAATGGCACTGTCCCAAGATTACCAAACAGCTGCATGCAGGATCCAAGCATGCCAAAAAGCTAGAGACCCTCCTCAAAGCTTCTCCTTATATACTGGAAGCAGACCACATCCCTAAGGCAGCTACTCATCTGCTCCACGTTCTGCCATGGAGTTACCAGTCTCAGCATGGGAAATAACTGTATCCAGCTGCCCAGCCACTCAAAACCAGGCTCAGTGAGGTTGGCACGCAGCTTAACTACTACACTTCATAAGTGATATGTGTGCATTCACTTAGTTGAAAGAAACTAGATGACAGAGCCTCCAAACACTTATTTATTCCATTCCTGTTATTAATGTGCCGTTGAGTCGGACCCGACTCATAGCAACCCCTCCTTGGGTTTCTGAGGCAGTATCACTACAGAAGTAGATTTTCTAACCTTTCTAGTGACCTATAATCATGAACCAAGCCAAACCCACTAACATCAAGTTGATTCTAACTCATGGTGACCCCCGTTGGGTTTCCAAGGCTGTAAATCTTGACTAAAGTAGATTGCTTCATCTTCTTCCCACAGAGCAACTGGTGGGTTTGAACCTCTGACCTTTGGGTTAGGAGCCAAATGTCTTACCAGTTATGCCACCAGAGCTCCATCATAATTGAATTAGAGGTCTGCAATTTCATAGATGTAAAGCAGAAAGGAAACTGACATGTGACTCCACTTGTCTATCAAGTTTACCAGAAATCCTTTGGTGTAAGTGCCAAATTTCATTCCCCTTACTGGTAGCAAACGATTATTGTTGTTATTAATTTTTAATTTGTTTAATATCTTTTAAATTTTGGTTAATTTCTTTTTATTTACCTAAAAGTGGTAGACTTAAAAGTTAAAAAAAAAAAAAAAATTAATGTAGAACCAGAAGCTATATGCTCTTACCACTAGATGGTGCCCCTACATCAATAAACTGAAATGCTGCCTTGGTAATGTTGACATCAACAAATTAGTTCATGAAGTGGGACCACTGAATAAGAAGAATTTAGATTTGAAAACATGGAATACTTGTGTATTTTTTGGAAGTATGATATAAGTAGGTTGGAAGAGGCTGAAAATAAGAAATGCCTAAAAGTCGAACTATTCACCAGTCTTAATTCTGTCAAAAAGAAGATAAACATGATAAAAAATACAATAAGATAAATACAGAAATAAAGTTTTATAATTTCAAATGTAGGCACTCTGGTAGCATGGTGCTTAAGGCACTTGGCTGCTAACCAGAAGGCTGGCAGTTCAAATCCACCAGTCACTCTTCTGAAGTAAGGTTGGGCAATCTCCTTCCATAGTGATACTGCCTCGGAAACACAAGGAGGGGTTGCTATGAGTCGGGTCCAACTTGAGAGCACATAACAACAACAACAAAATTTCAAATGTAACACAGTATTTCTATAAAGAATATAAAATATATAAATATAAAATTTAGATAGAGTGGGAAGGAGAGAGAAAGGGATTCATTATTTAGGGGGCACTGGGTTTCTGTTAATGATGGTGGAATTATTTGGAAAAGGATAGTACTAATGATTGCACAAACATTAAAATTAACTTTAACTTGAGAGGGGGAATAGAATTATGATAAATGAGATTCTTAATATTTACTTTCATATGTATGGTTTCTATACTAAAAGTCCTCCATCTTTTTTATATGAACTTCTGTCAAGCTAGTACTAGAAATACAATGTTAAGTAAGACACATTGTCTACCTCAAGCACCTTAGAGTGAGTGGGTGGAGCTACCCAGCTCCCATGTAGTACAAGAATTCTGTCAACTTCCACCTACATACTTGTGAGAAGAAGCCTCACTACTTCACACAACCTGTAGCTTCATAGGACTATTTTTAGGAAACTCTTCCAGCTATTGAAGCATTTCAGTATAAAGGCAGTTCTGTCCAGCAGTTCGCATTCTGCCCTTTGATGCATCACTGAACAAGTCTACTTCTGTCACTTGATAGCCAGCCATGCAGATCCTGATCACATCTATAATCTTATTTTTTTTTTTCCCTTAAGACTTCTCAGCTATTCCTGGTATTATTTAGTTATTAAAATGTAGTTTCCAGACTTATCAATATTTTTGTCACTTATAAACTTACTCAGGTAGTCAGTGTTTCTGACAAAATGTAACTCTAAATAAACCAAACTCATGGCCATCGAGTCGTATTTGACTCATAGTGACCCCTCCTTGGATTTCCAAGGCAGTAAGTATCTCTCCAGAAGCAGATTGCCCAGTCTTCCTTCCAAGGAGTGGCTGGTGGGTTTGAACCGCCAGCCTTCTGGTTAGCAGTCAAATGCCTTAGGCACTACTCCACCATAGCTCCCATGACAAAATACAGAACTTAAAATTGAACAAAACCATCATATGTTCTGTGAGCATCAAGAATGCCAGGAACTGGTCTAATCCCTGACCTGATCACTCTGTTCTTGTTCATTATATTAAGAGGCCATTCACCTTGTTTTTTTTGTTTTTTTGTTTTGATAAACACTATAACCCATCTGGGGCTTATGTTAAATTTGTAACAACTAAAAACCCACATCATTTGCTCATGAACTTCTGGCAGGCCATTTCCTTCTCCACTCTTACCCTTATGGTTTTGAATGGAGTGAGACTTTTACATGGACCCATTTTAATTTTCAACTTGTCACTTTCCATCCATCTATTGTTACAACTACTATTACTCCTGCTATACTTTTAGTAAACATTTGTTAAGTATTTAAGGAGCTCTGAAGGTATAGTCCCTAAAGCATTTGACTATTAACCAGAAGGTTGAGGTTCACACTCACCAGTTGTTCCATGGGAGGAAGATAAGACAACCTACTTCCATAAAGATTTACAGCCTTGGAAACCCAATGGGGATCACTTTGAATTGAAATCAACTCAATGGCAATGGATTTTATGGTTTGAGGATAAAAAACTAAACAAGATGGTAATGCTTAACAGAACCTGTCAGTGTGTTGTTTTTTTTTAATAGAGTTATTCTGCCCTGATTTCTGCACATGTTAAGTTTTCTCTCTTTAAGTCATAGACAGAAATACTGATTTATGTGAAATACTAAGTAGAGAACTTCTTTGGGTTGACATTTATCTGTTCTTCAATAAGAACAAAGAAAGGAGGATATTTGGGCATCTTTTCAAAGAGTAAACCTAATGAGGGACTGAACTACCATTCTGTTTCTGGCTTCTTTAGCAAAAAGAGTGATTCTCAAACAGAACGGGGAAAAACTAACATCAGGATGAAGGTCCAGACTTCAGCTGCCCAGAATTCTCCACCCCACCCCAGTCCTTTGCACTAACTCCTGATCCTCCAGGTTCTACCTCAAGTCTTCCATTCCACAGGAAGCCCCAGAACTCTGCAAAGAATTGTTCAACTAGCTATGAATTCAACTCACATTTCTCTATCACAAAATAACATAAAAATCTTTGTTACCATTCAAGCTTCATTGATTTTATCAAACAATTACTGACCACCTGATATATGTGAGGCATCATATTAGGCAAGTCAAGTAAGACTTGGTCTTATAGAGTTTGGAGACGATGATGGTCAGGTGTGGCCATATTTAAAATGTAACCACAGGAATGACTGAAGGAGGCTCCAGTGGTAGTGGGAGCACAAGAGGTAGTGCTCCACCCCAGTCCCTGTTCTGAGTCTTCCTGTGGACTGTGGTGCTTTAGCTAGATTCTGGAGGGTCAGAAGGAGTTATTGCCCTTACCAGGGGTAGGACAATTCTGGGAAGCAGAAGTCTGACCCTTTATCCAGATAGTAATTTTTCCCTGTTGTGTTTAAGAATCACTTTCTTTGCTTAAGAAGCCAGAGCAGAATAGTAGTTTAGTCCCTCATGAGGCCCACTCTGAAAACATGTCCAAATGTCTTCAATTCTTTGTTACTTGTACCAAAATAGCTATAAAAAAAAAAAAAAAAACTAACTTCTTCCATGACAAAACCATCAAGGATATAGGATTTCTATAGTAGACTAACAAAATTAAAGCCAAAATTAAAATAAATAAATATGCTTAAATTGCTCTCTATTCACCCCTGCTGCTTTTTTAGAGAAAAGGGGAAATTAATTGGGTGAAAGTAATCCAAGGTAAATTATTAAGAATTGTTAAAAGTGCACTGTGGCCTCCTACCTCAAAGAGTGCAGCATCTACCTTCTTTGTCAGTCCTTTCTCACACCACAGCACATCACCCCCAGTCTCAAGTATGTTGTTTCTTATCCCCTCTACTTCTGTCCTATTCAGGGTCTTCTCCAGGGTCTCTCTTCTGGTAAATTCATTAAAACATTAGTCCTGAAGGTGTCCATGGCCAAATAAAGACTCAGAATATACATTACTACAGATGTATTTGAGCTTCCTTAGAGTGGTGTGGAAAAGCAGAAGTCTGCAAGACTCACGAATAAAGCTGTAATGACCAGCATAATGTCCTCTTGAATCCTTCTACCCAGGCAGCCGTCCTTCTGACTGATTAACCATCAGGCCAACTCAGCAGATACTTCTACTTCATTTGCCTTCCCAGAACATCCAGCCCAATAAGCATTACATGAATCAGGCCTCACTGTATAAGATAAGAGGTAAACAAAGGAAGTGATGTATAGGCAGCTGGAATATGCAGACTTGTGAGCAGAGAATAATTTTTTATTCCCAGAACTATAGTGGCAGATTTAAAATATGGCCTTTGGTAAAGTAATAGATATCTATAATGTTTTTATTTGGTTTTGTTTTCTTTTTGGAACCAGGTTATTCAGAGAATATTCTACACAGTCAACAGATCATGGAGTGGAAAAATCACTTCTACAGAGATAAGAAAAAGCAACTTTTTGCAAGTATGCCTCTCTTTGGAATTAAAATATAAAGACCAATTTAAATATATTCTTACTCATTTAATGAGTTTGTACATTCACTCTGTGCAAAGCACTGTCACTATTTTCAATCATTAGGTATTTATAAGTTACCTAAAGGCCACTGGGATGGGTTGGGGTGACAAAGATGAATAACAAAGCACACACTGTGGAACAGAAAAAACACAGACTGCCACACTTGGCTTGAGAAAATACAGAGATGTATGAAGTAAGCAGCGAAGGCTTCACAGGATTGCCTGTGACCTTGGCCTTGGAGGATATTGAGAGTTTACCAAGATTAAAAGATGGAGAAAAGGGGGGTTCCAGATAAAGGAAACAGCATAAACAAAGGCCCAGAAGCATGAAAGTGCCATGTTAAGGAACTGAAGCACATACTTTAAAGAGCAGGCGCTCGAGAGGAGAGTCACCACAGATGAAGCTAGAAGGACAAGCTAGGACCAGGTTGAAAAGGGACTTACAGAAGAAATGTGCTGAGGAATTTGGATTTGATCTTTCAGCAATGACTATTTATCTAGCTCCTGCTAAGGGAAAATACTCAAAATTCCTTTTAAGAAAGAATAATTCAATTATTTTATTTTATCAAATGAGAGAGGTTAGAAAGTATTGACCACTAGTGGGAGCCTTTTACTGAAGTAGTTTTCATGCCTGATTATTTAAGTGTCTGTAAACCAAAAGAAAGTAGAATTATTCACACTTGAAAGAAAATGAAAAATTTTATTTTAAATGAATAATACTAAATGAACTTAGGCTAATAATGCAACCTTATTTACTCTTTATTTTTTCCTATCTCCTCCTATGTGAGATAGGAAATACCAGATGCCTGCATGGGCTCTCAGTAGCTATGAGATGGGTTCAGATAGCAATTAACTTAATACACCTTAAGGATGATAATAGTAACCCCTTACATTCCTGAAGCAATAATACTTTGTACTGAATCATTATTATCATCTATATATTTGGGAGCACTGGTAGCATAGTGGCTAAGACACTTGCCTGCTAACCAGACGGCTGGTGGTTCAAACCCACCAGCCACTCCTCGGAAGGAAGGTTGGGCAATCCTACTTCCGTAGTGATACTGCCTCGGAAACCCAAGGAGGGGTCGCTATGAGTCGGGTTTGACTCGACGGCACATAACAACAACAACAACATACTATTTTTACTGATGATAATATGTGAGGCCCAAATATGGCTGATTGACTTGTATAAGATCACACAGCAAGTGAGTGACTGAACTAGAAATAAGATTCAAGTGTTCTGCTTCTTTAGAGCATGGTTTATTTTCTTTTCTCTTTTCCCTTCTACTCTCTTTAGTCTTCTTCTTAGTACATGAATATATAGACATGTTCAAATAATATGACACATCTAGAGTAATAAGGAGAAATTGCTATTTATCTTCCCATCCTACCATTTCATTCCCTTTCCCAGAGGGAACCCACATTATCTGTGGTTTTATTCCCTTATACATGTAGACGTGGAGTAGTAGATAATTTTGTTTTGCATTGTTGGTTTATTGAGGTTTTTCATTTGTTTGGGATCATACTTTCTTTTCTGTTAACTTGTTTTTTTCACTTCACAATGTGTCTTTTTTATTCCATTCATAGAAATCTATCTTATCTTTTAAACTACTGTATAATATTCTATTGTGCATAACTTACTGTAACTAATTACATATTCCTCTATTGATAGATGTTCAGGTCATTTTCAGATTCTCCCTGTTACAGTAATGCAGTGCATATCCTTGTACTTCCCTCTTGCATGTGTATGAGTAAGGATATCTCAGGAATAGATGACTGGAGGGGAAATCCTGGATCAAATCATGTGTACATTTTTAGTTTGATGGATCCTGCCAAGTTACCATCCTAAAAGCTTGTGCTAACTCATATTTCCACTTACATCCTTACCAACAGCAGCAATTATCCACAGTTTTCATTTACAGTCTAGTGGGTGAAAATGACACAGCTTTGTTTCTCAAGGTTTGTTTTATTTAAAGCATTCTGTTTCATATACTTTAAAGGTCATATATAAAAACAGAACATTACAAGGAAGTTTGAAAAACAGGAAAAAACATTTTACCACTGTAATACAGCTTCTATAATTTTTGCATGTATTCTTCTAGTCTCCTTTATATGCAAATACGAGTTTTAGGTTTATACCTTAGTGTGTACAATCTTATATCCTGTATTTTGTATTTAACCATATGATGATTTTTCTTTGTTTCTCTGTAGACTTTATAATTTTTACTGGCTGCAAAATATTCCATTGACTAATTTAGTAATTTATGCTGTTTTAAATTTGCAAAGCATTTTGGTTTCCCAATGTTTACATTTTCTTAAATAATTTTTTCATCAGAGTAATAAATTTGTATTATGAAATAGCCCTCTTTATCCCTTATAATGCTTTTCACCTTGAATTCTATTTTATCTCTATTAATATTGACATATTCTTTATTTAGTTAGTTTTTGACTGATAGAGCTATTCCTGGGTTTTTTGGGGTTTTTTTTTAACAAAAAAACTCTTTTGAGGTTTATCTGCTGTATACAGCATATACCCAGATCTCTTTTTGGGGTTTGGTTTTACACTCAGTCTGAAAGTCTTTTAATAGGGAAACTTAACTCATTCACTTTTATTGTGCTAATTGAGATGCCTGTTCTTATTTCAGGAGCTCTGGTGGCATAGTGCCTCAGGCATTTGACTGCTAACCAGAAGGCTGGTAGTTCAAACCCACCAGCTGCTGCTCGGAAGGAAGATTAGGCAATGTACTTCCGCAGTGATACTGCCTCAGAAACCCAAGGAGGGGTTGCTATGAGTCGGATCCGACTCGATGGCAGTTTGTTTTTTTGGTTTGGATCTTATTTCTGTCATCTTGTTTTTTCTGTTTATTAAACTGCTCTGGTAGCATAGTGGCTAAAGCACTTGACTGCTAACCAGAAGGCTGGCGGTTCAAACCCACCAGCCACTCCTCGGAAGGAAGGTTGGGCAATCCTACTTCCGTAGTGATACTGCCTCGGAAACCCAAGGAGGGGTCGCTATGAATCGGGGCCGACTCGACGGCACATAATAACAACAACAACAGTAGCATAGTGGCTAAAGCACTTGACTGCTAACTAGAAGGCTGGCGGTTCAAACCCACCAGCCACTCCTCGGAAGGAAGGTTGGGCAATCCTACTTCCGTAGTGATACTGCCTCGGAAACCCAAGGAGGGGTCGCTATGAATCGGGGCCGACTCGACGGCACATAATAACAACAACAAACTTCTTTGTGGTTTCTTTTATTTTTCTTTCTGAATCTTTGATTTCTGGAAATGTCTTCATTTATCTGCCCACTTTATGATAACTGGACTGGTTATAGAATCCCAGTTCAAAATCATGGTTTCTGGTGATTTCCCTAGAACTAAGGAGCTCTGGTGGCACAGTGCCTAAGGCATTAGACTGCTAATCAGAAGGTTGGCAGTTCAAACCCACCATGGGGCAGTATGCTTCCATAAAGATTTACTCCCTCGGAAATACAATGAGGGTCACTATGAGTCGGAATCAACTCGATAGCAGTGAGACACAGTGTGAAGGAAAGACTCAGGTTTACTTCCAGTTCAGAGCCCTGCAGCTGTACCCTCTGTGCTTCTGTGCCAGGCCACCATGTGTCCCAGCACAATCACATACATAAGTAAGTATGTCTGTCCAACCTTTGTGGTAAAATTTATTTAATTACAAAACCAAACCCTATGTAAGAATAGGAGCTCTGATAGCGTAGTGCCTAAGACACTTAACTGCTAACCAGGAGGCTGGCAGTTCAAACTCACCAGCCACTCCTCGGAAGGAAGGTTGGGCAATCTACTTCTATAGTGATACTGCCTCAGAAACCCAAGAAGGGGTCACTATGAGTCGGGTTGGACTCAACGGCACATAACAACAACATGTAAGAATACCCATTCTTTATAATATAATGGTCATGTAACTGAAAACTGAAATGCAGTGTTAGTTTAGGGCCGTTAACTTAGTATCTCATCTGATTGTTCTGTGCTGCTGCTCAGTGGACCCGTGCTAGGCTGCAGTCCCCTTGGTAATGGTGTCCTTCCCTCTCCCTACTTGTGTATCCTCCATAGCCTCTAATCCCTTGCTATGCGTATCATGGAGCTCAGTAAATGCTTATAGACTGTACAGGTGATTAAGTAGGTTGCTTATTAAAGTTCCTGGTTTGGTACCACAAACAAAATTTTAAGTTCACTTTAAAAAATTTTTGCTAGATTCTATGCAGTAGCCAAAGCTTGTTTTTCATCATTTTAAAATAAATTAATTCTTCTATTCATACCATTTCAGACTCTAGCCCTTTTGGAAGAAGAGGAAGATATAAACCAAATCACAGATTACTTCTCCTATGAACATTTCTATGTTATTTATTGTAAATTCTGGGAGCTAGATAGTGATCATGACCTCTACATCAGCCAGACCGATCTATCTCGATACAATGATCAGGGTGAGTGATTCTATAGATGCTAAGACTTAATCATTCCAAAGAAGACAGAAGTAATGTAACTTGGCCCACTCGTGGAGAATTCCCATCTCTTAGTTTCTATATCTAATCATGTTCTCTCTACCAAGCCAAGAATTTTCTGGTGAGGATATGCTAAGATCATTTAATTTTTTTTTTTTTTAATTTAAAGGCCAGGTGTAGCTAAAGAATAATGTAGAATCTACAAAACATCATATAATGCGGATGAACTTGGAAGACGTGCTGAGTGAAATAAGTCAATCACAGAAGGGCAAATACTACATTAGTTCATTATTGTAAAAAGTCAAGGAAAGGTTTATATATGAAAGGAAACTTTCTTTGTTGGTTACCAGGGGTGGGAGGGAATGGAAGGGAACACTGCTAGATAGGTAGGGACAAGTATTGATTTGGGTGAAGGGAAGGGCAATGTACCATATGTGAACAATCAATACGGTAGCACTGAGGAAAGAGAAAGATACAGAGAGGTACATGGGCAGTACAGACAACAAAGATGAACCCTTTTGCATGTACAGTACTGCGTTGTCAGTGATGGCAAGCACTGATCTACCGGTGAACAGATGGGTGGACAGGCTGAATGATCAGGTTTACCTAGGCAGGGGGTTGTGTGTCCCTGACAACGTATCAGGATAGTAGACAGTGTTTCTACATACACTGAAAGAATGTCCAGGTGTATAGTAGAGCTGACAAGAAGCAAGGTTATGGTAGCTTCTTGGCCACAGCCAGCTACCCGGAGGGAACAAGAAGTTGGACCTGTGGGCTTGGGACTGTGGTTACAGAGGACATCAAGCTCAATTGGCATAATATACTACACAAAAACATTGTTCTATATCCTACTTTGGTGAGTAGTGACTGGGATCTTAAAAGCTTGCAAGCAGCCATCTAGATGCAACGATGGGTATTTCTTTATCCAGAGCAAAGAAGAACAAAGAAAACCAAAGATAGATGAAAACAATTAGTCCAAGGGACTAGTTGACCATGCCATCCTCGCCTTTATGACCATGAGATGAGAAGAAGCCCAGCTACCACTGTTGGCCACTCAGGGGGATCCATGTAGGAGATCCTGGATGGAGTGGGAGAACAAGTGGAACAAAACTCAAAATCATTAAAAAAAAAACACTAGGTTTGCTGCTCTGATAAAGCCTGGTGAGACCCCTGAGACTATGGCCCCTAGCTACCCTTCAAGTCTGGAATTCAACTTACTCCTGTGGCTTCCAGCCAAACAACAGACAGACACATGGGGTGAACGTTTACATCAGGGAGATACACTCCTTGGAGTGATAAATCATGGGAGAACAGAAGGGCAGTGTTTGCACAGGGAGACAGCTCGGGGGACAGGAGTGCATAGGAAGGACACAGGGAAGAGGTAACTACAGGGAGGAAGTGGGAAGACAGATGTTACATTGTGGGGAATTGCAGTCAATTTCATGAGACAATATGTGTATGAAGTGCTGTATGGAAGATGAATTTGCTCTGTAAACTTTCACCCAAATCACAATAAAAATTATTTTTGAAAAAAGTGCCAGGTATAGAAGGGATTTGAAGGTAGGTAAGAATTTACAAGTCTTAGTTTTGATGATAAAGGCAAGTCTGTGTACTGATGTGTATTTTCTGATGATGAATTCAATGAGATCCACACTTGTGCAAGGTATATTTGAAAGATAATATGTAGGCACCTAGAAACATTCCCATTTAACAGTCTGTCTATAGAAAGCCGAGGATGAAAATACTGTTTCTAACTTGCCAAATTTTTTTTCCTCATAAACTTTTATAAACACTTTCTTCTTAGAATGTAGTTCTAGAAAAGATCATTTTCTCTGCAAATGAATTTTGTGCTCTTTTGTCAGAAAACAAAAATTAAATATCATATATTACCCTTTTTACTTCATTTTGCCACTTGTAAATTTAGAACCTACTGCCTTGCTGATTTAATTTTATTAGCTAAGTAACAAGATACAGATTTTTTTTTCCCTGGTAAGATTGTCCCAGTTCTATCCTTAAACGTCATCTTAGGTACTATTTATTTTTCGAGTTAGTCAGCCTTTTAGAGATGGCAGACTACAAATCCTAAATACACGTTGAATTTTGCTTCTGTTATTTGCTATATCTTTGACTGATGTCAAGCATATTAAGAAAAGGAGATGTTCAGAGGGGTATTGGGTGCCTTTATTAGCTGTGCTGTTACCATTACCAGTGAACAAGGTCATCTGTATAACATGAGCCAGCTTCTGGAGGGCATGTGTGGCTCTCTGTGCTCTAAAGCTCTTTCTGTTTTTGAATGACAAAACCATAGTTCTTCTAGGTTCCCAAAATATTATATGTACTCACAGACAAATTGCCATCAAATCAGTTCTAACTCAAGGTGACCCCACATGTGCAGAATAGAACTGTTCCATTCAGTTTTCAAGGCTGTGACCTTTTGGAAGCAGGTCATCTCATTATGGCCATGTTGATGGGATGAAGTCCAGAAAAGTAGGTACCTAAGTCTGTATAATAAGACTCTTGTCTGTAACTACCCACCCACCTTAATTTATGGGACAACATATGTTGTGATCTTTAATTTTAGGAAGTTAAAGCTTCCTTTGGAGGAGCTGTGGTGACATAGTGCCTAAGGCATTTGACTGCTAACCAGAAGGCTGGCAGTTCAAACCCACCAGCCACTCCTAGGAAGGAAGGTTGGTCAATCTACTTCTGTAGAGATACCGCCTCGGAAACCCAAGGAGGGGTCGCTATGAGTCAGAACCAACGGAAAGCAGTGAGTTTGGTTTGGTTTGGTTGGGAAAGCTTCCTTTAATGAGTTCCGATGACTTTAGCTTTGGCATTCAGTACCCTTTCCTTTCCTATACATCTCTCTTTCTTTCTACCTAGAATAAATTATTAACCCCATAAACCAGTGCTCAACAAAATCTATTGGATCCTTGTGTGCCAAGGCTTCACTATGTGCCAAGCTTTGGTATGTACCTAGGTGTGGCTATACTGACACACATATCCTTACCTTTCTTCAGCCAAACTAATTTACCCTCATGTTGACTGTTCCTAACTCACAGGAGTCCTGGTGGAGCAGTGGTTAAGCATTTGCCTGCTGACCAAAAGTTTGGCAGTTTGAACCCACTAGCTACTCATAGGAGGAAGATATGGCAATCTGTTTCCATAAAGATTACAGCCTTGGAATCCTATGGGGCAGTTCTGGTCTGCCCCATGAGGTGGAATCAACTTCACGGCAGTAGGGTTGAGTACCAAATTCTGTGAAGAAAAGTTAGATGCTAATGGCTACTGACTCTAATGACCTAATTGCTGATCCTGAAATTTCATTGTGTATCACGTTGTCTGAGGCACTTGTTAAAGGTATAGATTCCTGGCCTTACCCCATCCTCAAGCCTGAGATCTCCAGGAATTTTTTTTTTTTTTTTTTAAACTAAAAAAAAGAACAGCCTTTGGTTGTTCTGAACTTACAATGAGGTATACTACTGTAGAGTCCCAAGGATCTATCACTAGTTCCTGTCATCAAAACATGACATACTACCTTAAGCTCTAATTGTTTCTCTCTTGGAACAAAACTTACTTAGGGGATTTCTAAAGATCTTATGTTGTATCATGTTACATTCTCGGCTTTTATAGAATGGGAATATAAGTGTGTTTATGGCATACTTTGATATCTTTTGTAAAATTCTACTTGAAAGCATCACCTATTTTTCACCCATAATCTCTTACATTAGGAACTACATAATCAGTTCCCCCTTGGATTTAATGCTAGGATAAAATTTGTCTTCTTTACAAGAATTCTCATTGTTCTTATTGAATAACAAGATCAATACAAATCCCATACATTTCATCTTAACTATCAGGATGTTCAGAATTAACTTCGTGCTTAACTATACTAATATAACCCAGATGTCTATTTGCCTGTTATTTAAAAAAAAATCTATTTGCCTGTTACTTAAAAAAAAAAATTGTGTGTATATATATATGTGTGTGTGTGTATATATATATATGTATGTATGTATTTATGTGTATTTATATATATATATATATACACACACACACACATAAACACACACACACATATGTAAATCTCCACCTCAAATTCTTACTTCCCAAAATTATACATGAGTAAAAATGTAACTACTTATATTCTTATCATGGAAAATTGTTGTGATTTAGCTTAGAGATACTGAAAAAAAATTTGCCAAAAGTATGACCTTTATGGAGCATGTTTCTAACTAGCTCTGTAATTTCTTATATTTAGCTTCATCAAGCAGGATTATTGAAAGGATATTCTCTGGGGCAGTAACAAGGTAAGAAAAAGCATCTGAGTTTTAAAATTAACTACAAGTAATACTGTAACTATCTCATTTTAGTAAGGCTTCCTTCACAATTTGACAGTACTACTGGGCCAAATAATACCCTACAGAAAAATATACTTAGGTAAGGTAAGTAAGTCTAGTAAGTGTTAATATGGAATGTCAGAATAGAGATTGTTAGCTGTTTTACAACCATAATGGTTCAGTAATAAATTAGAGAAGGAAGAGGAAATTCAGAAATCTTGTGTCTTAACACAGGACATTGATTCGTTAAAATGGGTATTAATCTTATATCTAAACATAGTTTAATAGTACTTGATCCTGGTAATTATTTGCATTCAAATTAGAAATCAGATTTATTTACAAATGCATTCTGGTTCACCCTCTAAGCTTTTGAAAACGAGATAGGCCATTGTGGTACGATAAGTTGCTTTTATATGGCCTTTTTTACTATGGTCTTATAACTCCCATCAAATACCTGGGTGGGACTACGCAAATGAGGTGCTTTTGGCCTACCAAGGGAACTGGATAGCTTGCTAATGATGCAAATAAAGTGTATCGCATCCTTATGGGAGTGGTCCATGCAAATAAAATATATGGAACCCTAACAAAGGGATTGGTCAGTTTTGCCATTGGACTAAGTTTAAAATGAGCCTTCCCAGAGGTAGAAAGCAAGGAACCTGTCTACTACCAAGAAGAAGAAACTAAAGTAGAGAGCATCCTGAAAAGAGGCTGTCCTGAACACAGAACTGTATCCTGAGTCTGTCCTGAATTATAACCTGTTACTTCCCTAATTGCCACAGTGGCTGCAATCGAGGGCTCAAATATAGCAATAATTGTAAGGATGGTATAGGAGTAGGCAGTGTTTCATTCTATTGTACGGAGGGTCACTTTTGAGTCAGAACAGACTTGATAGCACCTAACAACAACAGTACTTCCCTAATAAACCCCATAATCTTCAATATTTTTTGTGAGTTTTCTGTAGCCATAGGAACAAATTAGTGAACCCAGAAGAGTACTGTGGGAGGGATGGTTCGTGTCAGAATTAGAAAAAGTTAGGAGGGTGGCTTCATAGGAATCAACCTCGTGAGTCCCGGCAAGATGGCGGACTAGGCAGAAGGACTGCACGGATGCTCTTCAACAAAGAAAAGGGAAACCAATTAACACACAGAAGATAATCTTGGACCCCTGAGCCTTGAAGGGAAGGATACAAAAGTGGACTAAACCCCAACAAGCAGAAGAATTTGTGTGAAAATACCAAAAAAGGAGACACATGGAGCTGCAGTCTGGCAGCGGCCTGAGCAACCCTGACGGCACAGACGACGGGGCTTGGAGATTCCCGAGTGGTGGTAGGACCTAAGAATTAACCCAAAAATCACCCTGCTAGCCAGGGACTGCACGGAAGACTG